CACATCATATCTCCAAGTTTTTAATTTTAAATCATAAACATGAAACTCAAGAACTAATTCTTGGTTGATCATATATCTACATATATAGTGGCCTTTTATTTTTCCAGAGATCAATAAGGATGGCCATTTGGGGTTTTCACATCTCTATATCCGGTCACACAGCTTTCTAGCTATGATGGAGTTCATATGCATGGAGTAAAGTACCTGCCCATACAAACAATACAGTGAATAGAGATGTTCGGAGATAAATGTACAAGCGGCTTACATGAGGTGCCTAAATAACCCAACAATAGGGATTCGTGATATATACTGTTGATTCAGTGCTGTATCATTTCAGCGTGTTGGTGTTTTTTCTCCTTTTTGAGACACACATTTTCTGGATAGTAAAATTACGGTTTTTGTGCAATGGGAGACCGGGAACACCACCACGTGCCACTTCAAAAAACCGGACGAATGCACTCATCCTGCACTTACTGTTTAATCTCCGTGGGACTTGCTTGAACCTACAAACTCCATTATCAGTGACAACTTTCTTAGTGCATCTACACTTTACATACTAGAAGTTGGTCGTCCCTCCTTTCCGATTTAAAAGGGCCACGTGTATCCCTAAATCGACAATTCTACCAATGTAATACAAATTGTATGCCCCAAAAATTATACCATCAGAAAATATAACATTTGAAGTTTCTAATGATATATTGTTTGCGATATATATAACTCATGTTATGTTGGTTATATTGTCGATCTAGGGGTACACGTGAGACTTTTAAACCAGAAAGGAGATAGTATTACACATGTGCTTAATGAGTGTTCCTAGGAGAAGCATCAACGGTCCATCTTCGAACTATCCATTCCCACACACTTTTTTGTTTGTTACACTATCGATTGGCTGAAGGCGAACTAGATGATCAATGTCTCCTCAAGCACCAATAATGTTACAAGATTTGATGAACATATCATCTTGATATTAATATATTGCCCTTTGTCGAAAATAAAGGAGAGACAGGCGGAAACCAGAGCAGACTTAAAATTACTAAAATTTATCAAGAAGAGATCCTTAACACCCCATGCATGTTACACCCCCTCTAGAAGGCAAGAAGCTAAAACATGTTTATTTTGCTAAGCACCTCTCCAGACCCACACATGCATGTGTCATTTACTCGTATTGTGAGATTAGTGGACGAGGATGAGGTGAAACGCAATTTTGCTACATCTAAGTCGCATGATATTTTCTTATATATCTACACCTAAGTAGGAGTAGATGGCATGAGCCATCCCATGTCTCGGTGTTTAGATTCACGTGGCAGGGTGGAATTAATGATCAAGATTAGAAGATCAGATGGTAAGAAAATCTTAGTCGGCTTACGACGACAGTGCAATTTGCACTCTTGACTCTATCTATAGTAATTTGTGCAAGTAGGGAAATATGAGCAGAAACTTGGTTAATTGGGTGCTTGCCTTTGCGGTGATGGTGATGATGGCGGTGTCGGCCGGGAAGGGCATGACGCTGGTGTGGGTGATGGCGAGCCGGAGGTCCTCCACCTCCGCCAGCACCCTCACCAGCAGCCCCCTCGCGTTCTTGCAGTGGATGCGCACCAGCACGGTCTTCTCGTCCGACACCCGCACCTCGATCTCCGGCAGCCCGCCGTGGCTCGACTCGCCGGCGTCCTCGTCCTCCTCGTCGTCGGCGGCGGCCTTGATCTTCTTGCTGACGAGCACGGCGGAGCGGATGGTGGTGGTTGTGGTGGCGGCGGCGCTGTCGTCGTCCTCCATGGTCTTCACCTTGTCCTGCAGCTCCCTCACGTACTTGACCGCGTCCCCGAGAATCGTCGCCTTGTCCATCTGCACATCACAGTGTAGAATCAGATGAGCAAATAGAAATTAATTCTTGCACATACAATCTTAAATCTGAAGTATAATTAATTACTCTGCAGGTGATTAGCATGAAGAGGAAGCATGGAATGAAACCGAGGAACAAGAGGAAGAGCAAGAAATTAAACCTTCTTGAGGTTGGGGATGACGGTGGAGAGCTCGATGAAGCGCTGGTTGATCTTCTCCCGGCGGCGGCGCTCGGCGATGATGTGGTCCTGCACGGGCCCCGGAGAGGCTGACGGCCCGGCCGTTGAGCCCTGCGCGCTGCTCCCCGATCTCCTCCCAGCGGCGGGCGTACTATGGCCTCTGGGGGCAGGGGCCGGCCGCGGGGAGATGTCGATGTCAGCCGGCAGCTGCGCAGCCTGCGAGGACGCGGCGGCGGCGCTGAAGTTCCAGCTCATGGGCCTGCTGCTGTTGGTGGTCCTGGTCCTGGCGCGGGCTGTGTGCGGGGACCACCCGGGTCCGGCGGCGGCCGCGTCGTGGTCCATGGCGGCGCCGGGGCTGTCGCCGGAGCTGGTGCTCCAGCTGCTGGGCTGGTGGTGGTCCACCTGCACCCTCAGGTCCCTGACGCCGCCGCCGGCCGCCGTGGACTCGCGGAGCGCCTGCAGCGACGGGAAGGCGGCACCAGCACTGCTGCCACCGGAGCTGGAGCCAGCACCACCGTATACGGGAGGAGCCGCGGCGGCGGCGGCGGCGTGGTACTGCTGCTGGTCCAGCGTGTTCATCGCCCACTGCATGAAGTCGTCCATGCCTAACTCCCTCCCTCCTCCCTCAATCGATCGATCCTGCGGAGGAACAAATCAATTAACACTCACTCTACTCCAAGAATCATCAACAACACATCAATCACATGCATGGCAGCCCAGCTTGATTGGACTCGAGATGATGAACTCGAGCACAAATATATCCATGCGATTGAACTGCTCCTCACATACCTGGCCTCAGATCTCTCTTCCTTCCTCCCCCTCTCTCTCTAGAGTGAGAGGGAGAGAGGAACTCCTAGCTAGAGAGAGAGAGAGAAAGCAAAGCTGAATTGAGGGAACAAATACCAAAAGAATAGTTTTTGGTTGTGTGTCCTACCAGCTAGCTAGCTGCTGCTACCAGTATTATACTTGTGAGGGCATTTCACATTGCACCACACAGATAATACTAAATGTGTGTGTGTGTGTGTGTGTGTGTGTGTGCAGGTCTGCAGGATAGCTTCTGTTCCACTGTTTTCTTGGAACTGTACGTGCCCCAGTTAAAAATCTACCAACACGTACTAGTAGTACATATATAGATATTGTTCCAGTGAAAACTGTGTCACTAGATCTCATCATTTTCACCCTTTTACCAACATGAAAAGTAAATGTCCAAGTTGCAGCCATCAGTGCAATTTCGATTTCTTTTCTTGTATGACACCGGCCAAAAAATACATGCTGCTGGACACATGTGTTGAGCGATGCAGGTTCCACGTTCCAAGAGTCAACTTTTGAGCGCCTGGCATATTCAATCAAACTAGCTGCGTGCGCGCTACATGTAGTCTGCCATTACTTAACTGGTTGTTAATCGTGGAGGGTCCATCAGTGACCATTTCTAGGGTTCACATGGAACACGGTTTTTTTTTTTGAACGGGGCCGCTGCGTGGCGGTGCACGATCTCCCCTCCACACATGCTTTGAGATTGGTGACCTGTTTTAGTTTTATTTTTTACTTCCTTCGTTTCAAAATAAGTGACTCAACTTTGTACGAATTTGGGTTTAATGCATGGCGTGTATGATTTTGTACTATTTGGAGAATGCAAATACATACATGTGAAGCTGTCAGTGTTTATGAACTACAGTTGCACATATTTTTGATACAATAAAGTGCTTGGTACATGTATGAGATATTCCTGAAATTGATTGAAATTATACATGTCAATGATTAGGAATTATATATGTGATATTACAAACGAGGAAATTTTTGGAAATATTTAAATAAATAAAGGATCGATCAATGACCATTTCTAGGGTTCACACGGAAGCTGGATTTTCTAATGGAACCACCAAATATTATGAAGTTGGTGAAATATTTTAGCAATTTTACAATACAATGTGTGCACCATTTTGTATCACTAGGTGAATCCAAGTACATGCTCCAAGTCCCCACTTGGACTCGCCAAAAGTGTGTGGTAAACATTTATGAATGATATTTGCAAACCCTTTTGAAATAGTGAAATGGTTGATACCTATATAAAACATTTCTTTAATTGATTAAAATATGATTGAAACTTATGCGAATAATTATGAATAACATTTGTAAAAAATTGAAATAATAAACATGTTTGATACATGTATGAAATGTTTCTGAAATTTATTGAAATAATTAAATTTTGTGTTATATTGGTAACCTTTTTCGAAACAATGTATTATAACTAAAATAATTAAAAAGTTAAATAAAAATGATCTTTTAAACATGTCGTCGTTGAAAAGAAATAAGAAAAAGAAAATTTGTAATAGTTATTTTGAAAGATGTCATTGTTTACTTCTTTTTAAAATCATTGTTAGGACCTATCAAATGTTTTTCAAAATACAACAAAACCCAGATAAATGATTCCAAAATACATGAGAATATAAATGTTGATGTATGGCCATACTTGGTGAGCTAGAGCCACTTGATTGGTCAAGCTCACTTAGATGTTTATGTATGGGTGGACCCACTTTTGTTGCAAAAAGATCTTAGATCTATTAATACAACTTAAGTACAAACACCCTTAGAAAATAAAGAAAATACATCAAGGTCCCTAGGGGCCAGTCGTCTTCTTCGTCATGAACAGGGCGATTACTAGAGCCACTTGATTGATCAAGCACACTCATTAGAAATAACTTTGCAGACACATACATAGTACCGGGCCCGCCTTTACCCCGTTGCTTTGCAATTAATCAACTAATTACTAGCAAAATAAACCTAGCTTAAATGGTTTGGTTCCTTGTGGAGGAACCAGCCCACTCCGGGATCAAGTCTTGACTTCACATGGGTGCTCGCATATTTCTTGAATTTATCCAGGCTGTTGTATGTCAATATTATTTCAGTGGAATGGTGTGCCTACCGAGTACAAGGTGTCAGTGACGAGGTGTCAGTGTGGTATGGTGCGCCCGTCGAGTGCGAGGTGCATGCGATGGTTTCGTCAATCTCAAGATCTGCCGGCTCAATCACCCGAAGGTGTTTATAGGGTTTGGGTTGTGTGTGTTCATTGGAATGAGTGTGTGTATTTTGATCATCTGGGCCGGGTTCATATTGTGTTTCTAAACAAAACTAATTACCACGTTGTTAGTAACTTAAATAGTCAGCGTATAAGCGTGACGTGTCAGGTGGCATTCCCTTATTGGATATGGAAGTCCCATGTGATGCATGTAGATGGATGTGCATGTCGGATGCATGGTCCATGAGATGGACCAATCGATATCGGATGAGCAGTTAAAGCCGAGATTGGCATCACATACATGATTCATCAACATCTTTTGACATGCATGTTGGCCATACTATGTCAGAAGATAGAATACCACACATGCATGCATCAGATAGAGATCTAGATCCATTTCTGTATACTCCTATACGGATATTTTTGGACTAGAAACTTACATACATGCATCAGATAGTTTGTAGACCGAATCGGGCAGAAGTACAGGTGTGGAAAATGTATATATGTAAGTGTCATTTCTGTGCATTTGTCACCGCGTTCCAGTCCCCGTTGATTATACGAAATATGTCTGCATACGAAATAAAATGAGTGAATCTACACTCTAAAATATGTCTATATACATCTGTATGTAGTAGTCATTTGAAATGTCTAGAAAGACAAATATTTAGGAACGGAGGGAGTATATGTTGTCGATGAGAGAAAAGGTGGGGCGCGCGCACGTGATGTGGCGCCCGCAGCAGCAGCGTCGTGCACAATTTTCCGGGTGAAGAAACATACTCCACTCGTGTGTACAGGCAGCGCTCCTGCCTGAGCTATAGAGACAGACTTTGACATGCATGCATCAGCCGGACACGTTCACGTGAACCGGGTCCTGGGTCCATCGTCCATGTATAGATGGCCTGCGCGGGCCCGGCCCGCGCAAGCACCGCGTGCAGGAGTGAGTGTACATGGGAGCGGTGCGGCGCTTCGTAGCTGGTGGGGTCTGTCATGGTTGCCGGTGTCACTGTTGAGGTGTTTCAAAACAAAAATGTACATCCAAGCTGGCTTCGCAAGGGTGTAATGGAAACATGTGAAAAACATACTATAAGGCGCGTGTATGTCTAGCAAGTCAATTCGTTTGTGTAACAATTTTTACATCTCACGCTTGTTTTGTAGTTGTATGCCATAATGATTGCTAATTCGTTCGAGGAATTAATGTGCCGTTTCACCACACTGGCGTGCCCCTCTCCCCTCCATTTCACTCTCCTTTGTTTCCGGATTATCCCCCTTTCAACTCAATACTCCCTCCGTCCGAAAATACTTGTCATCAAAATGAACAAAAAGAGATGTATCTAGAACTAAAATACATCCAGATACATCCTCTTTTATTCATTTTGATGACAAGTATTTCCGGACGAAGGGAGTACGTCTCTATCCTTCCCCCCTTTCTTACGAGCTACTGCTTCTGTCGAACCCTCCCAATCATAGCTTTGGCTGATGCCGACAAGCACACCACCGTACTCCTATTTCATCCTCGCGTTGGTTGCCGGTTCTACATCAATGCCCCCGCATCCACGAATCCTAGAGTCCGAGATCGGACCTCGTCGGAATCCACCCTTCTGGTGGTAAGAGCCATGACCACTACTATGGTGTAGGCCTGTAGTAGTGGCGATATATAGGATCAGTTGTCAGCCGTTGGTGGAGGGATGAAAGGCAGAAGAGATTTGTCAATTACACGTATAGGTCGATTTGCACCTCATAGTGGTGGCGTAGCCAAAACCATGACATAACAGGCCATACCCAGATTTGATCAAGGAATACCGCTATCAGGGACCAAATATTTTAGGTATTATAAAGTTTAGGGTAAAAGTTAGGAAAAAGTTCAGAGACAAAAACATGCTTCATGATAATTTGGGGGACAAATAGTTGCACTTCTCTCTTTGTGGAAAAGAAGGCATACGACCAATTCCAAACAGGTGACATAACAACGAACAAAAAAACGATATATGTTTTGGCTAGCATGCTCTTGGGAAGGAAAAGCCCTCCCAGCAAAAGGCAACAAAGTCCAATTTCTAGTAGTGAGATAGAGACTGAAAAGTATCCTGGACGAAGGAGATCTGCACATACATAATCGTCACCGTATCATTCCAAATCTCTTAAAGTATAGAGATTAGAGAGTGCATGACGGGCTAAGCAAAATTAATCAAGTAATGGCACTCATCACACACCAAGTTAGCATAGTCTAAACTGGCAACCGAAGCAGCAACACGGATATGTTTGATACGTTGCGTGTGCGTGACCTTGGGCAGTAGTCGTTCGCTCCGACAAATCATAATTTTTTTTAGAGAAGGAGGATCACCCTGACCTCTCCATCTGAGCAATGCATGCAGCCATATTATTAATTATTCATAAAAGACCTAACAAAAAATACAACAGTAAATCTGAAACCACCGTCCAGGCGACAACTGTCCCTACTCATATCCAGCTGATGAAGAGATGTTAATAGTCTGGGCCTAATACCACAGACCTCGCAACCAAGCCTAACATCTAAGACCTGATACCCCAACCAAACCACATGCCGGGTATGGGGCACACACCGGTCCGGCGC